TCTCACACACCTCGCCAGTCGGGGAGGGGTGGGGGCACTGGTCTTCTCATTTCTAACAATTGGAAATATTCACCTCTCTCTTCTCTATGCAATAACAACTCATTTGAATATCATGCTATTACACTTACAACTCCCATGAAGATCCATATTGTAGTTATTTATCGCCCCCCAGGTCAACTGGGAAGCTTTGTAGAAGAGCTGGATGTGTTGCTGTCCTCTTTCCCTCAGGATGGCATCCCACTTGTAGTCTTTGGCGATTTCAACATTCACCTAGCGAAGCCGTATGCAACAGACTTCATCTCTCTCCTAGCCTCTTTCGATCTCAAACGGCTCATCACCACCGGTACTCACAAGTCAGGCAACCAACTGGACCTGGTTTACACACGCAACTGTATCACAGACAACATTTTGGTGAAACCTCTCCAAGTTTCAGATCATTTCCCTAATTACTTTCAATCTACAACTCACTACCCATGCTCCACCAACATCCCCACCATTTACTTTCAGACGAAACCTGCGCTCACTTTCTCCATCCCATCTTTCCTCTGCTGTGTCATCTTCTCTTCCCTCACCCTCACATTTCTCATCTCTGGATGTGAATACTGCAACGGATACTTTATGCTCCATCCTAACCTCTTCTTTAGACAATATCTGCCCTCTCTCCTCTAGGCCAGCACGCGCTACTCCCTCTAACCCCTGGTTATCTGAGGTTCTTCGTGGACACCGGACCGAACTCAGGGCAGCGGAGAGGAAATGGCGCAAATCAAAAGACACATCTGACCTCAGTAGGTATCAATCTCTGCTCTCTGCCTTCTCTGTTGATGTTCACGCCGCAAAATCTTCATATTTCCACAACAAGATCAACAGCGCCTCTAACACACGTTCACTGTTCAAGACATTCAATTCTCTCCTCTGTCCACCTCCACCACCACCCACCTCCTCTTTAACTGCTGATGATTTTGCTAACTTCTTCACTAACAAAACTACAACTATCAGCAGTCAGTTCTCAGCACAGGAACCCAGACTAACCTCTCCCACAGCCAATAACCTTCTCTCCTCCTTCACTCCACTAACCGAGGAAGAAGTATCTAAACTTCTCCTCTCCAGTCATCCCACCACCTGCCCTCTAGACCCCATCCCCTCACACCTTCTACAAGCCATCTCTCCCACACTTCAACCAGCTCTCACACACATTATCAACTCATCCCTCCACACTGGCATTTTCCCTACAGCATTTAAGCAGGCTCGGGTAACTCCTCTGCTTAAAAAATCAACATTAAACACATCACTTCTAGAGAACTACAGACCTGTCTCTCTCCTACCATTCATTGCGAAAACACTTGAACGAGTGGCTTTTAACCAAGTATCATCCTTCCTGTCTCTGAACAACCAGCTGGATGTCAACCAATCTGGCTTCAAGAAAGGACATTCAACTGAGACTGCATTGCTGTCAGTCACGGAAGCCCTACGGATCGCAAAAGCTGCTTCCAAATCATCAGTTCTCATTCTACTGGACCTGTCTGCTGCCTTCGACACTGTGAATCATCAGATCCTCTTGTCCGCCCTCTCATCACTGGGCATCACTGGAACCTCCCTCAACTGGTTTGAGTCCTATCTCACAGGTAGGTCCTTCAAGGTCACATGGAGAGGTGAGGTATCCAAAGCACATCAACTGACCACAGGGGTTCCTCAGGGTTCAGTTCTCGGACCGCTCCTCTTCTCCATTTACACCACATCACTGGGACCCATCATACAGGCACATGGTTTCTCTTACCATTGCTATGCTGATGACACCCAGCTCTACCTCTCATTTCAACCAGATGATCCCACAGTAGCTGTACGGATCTCAAGCTGTCTGGCGGACATCTCGGCATGGATGAGGGAACATCACCTGCAGCTCAACCTGGCAAAGACTGAGCTTCTCGTCCTCCCTGCCAATCCGTCTCTACAGCACGACCTCACTATCCAGCTAGATTCTTCCTCAATCACCCCATCAAGGTCGGTCAGAAATCTTGGAGTAATCTTTGATGATCAGCTGACCTTCACAGACCACATTACAAAGACAGCTCGATCATGCAGGTTTGCTATGCACAACATCAGGAAGATCAGGCCTTTCCTAACTGAGCATGCAACACAACTTCTCGTCCAGGCTCTGGTCATTTCTAGGCTTGATTACTGCAATGCTCTTCTGGCTGGACTTCCATCATGTGCAACTAAACCTCTACAAATGATCCAGAATGCTGCAGCTTGTCTTGTCTTCAACGAGCCCAAAAGGGCCCACGTCACTCCTCTGTTCATCTCTCTGCACTGGCTACCACTCGCTGCTCGCATCAAGTTCAAGACTTTGACGCTTGCTTACAGATTGACCACAGGTTCAGCTCCCTCCTACTTCCACTCACTACTACAAGTCTACATCCCTACCAGAAGCCTACGATCGGTCAATGAGCGACGGCTCGTGGTACCATCACAGCGGGGCACAAAATCACTCTCCAGAACATTCTCATTCACGGTTCCATGCTGGTGGAATGATCTCCCCACCCTCATCCGGAATGCAGAATCCCTGACAGCATTCAAAAGACATCTGAAAACTCATCTCTTCCGGGAGCACTTAACATAAAAAAAAAAAAATAATCCTTTCCTCTAAATCCTCGCTTGCCTGGCTTATGCTACTCCGAGCTATGTCTGAACTTTGTATTTTGAGCACTTCTTGCGTTGCTTTTGCCTCTTCACGATGACTCGCTTGGTTTAGTCCTCAGTTGTAAGTCGCTTTGGATAAAAGCGTCTGCTAAATGACTAAATGTAAATGTAAATGTGAATCATTTTCTGCCTTGCCTGCAGGGACATCCTGTTCTAGTACGGTGCGATAATACCACGGTAGTGGCTTATATCAACCGTCAGGGTGGCATGCGCTCGTCAAAACTCCACGCTCTAGCTTACAGGCTTTTGGTGTGGAGCAGACAGGTTTTTCTGTCATTACGCGTGACTCATGTCCCGGGCATTCGGAACAGAGGCGCGGATCTGCTATCGAGGGGAAACCCAATCCACGGGGATTGGCGTCTTCACCCGCAGATAGTGGAGAGGTTATGGATGAGATGGGACAGGCAGCCGTAGATCTTTTCGCCTCGCGCGAAAATCACCATTGTCCTATGTTCTTCTCGCTAAAGGACATGGACGCGCCCCTCGGGGCAGACGCACTGGCCCACCCATGGCCCAAAGTGCTGTTGTATGCTTTTCCTCCCCTGTGCCTGATAATTTTCACTCTGGCCAGGGTGAGAGAGCACGGCCTGTCTCTCACTCTAATAGCACCCAGGTGGCCCAAAGCCCCATGGCTGGCAGAGATAATCCCTCTGTTATACGCCGAGCCATGGCGCCTCCCCCCTCGCACGGACATACTGTCCCAAGCCAACGGGGAGATTTACCACCCCCACCCGGACAGGGTGGCTCTCTGGGCCTGGCCCATGAGAGGACGAACCAAAATGCACTGGGGCTCCCGCCGCGTGTAATCGCCACTACTCAGAAGGCCAGGGCCGTTTCCGCGCGATCCCTATATGGCTGTAAGTGGCAAGTGTTCGAAGGGTGGTATGATGGGCGTGGTTTCACATCTTATCAGTGCTCGGTGCCTGATATTTTGTGTTTCCTGCAAGACCTCATGGAAAGAGGCAGGTCCTTTTCCACTATTAAGGTCTACCTGGCTGCGATTTTCAGCCTGTCATGTGGGTTTTGGGGCTCCACCGTCAGGCAGCACCCTCTAACCCGCAGATTTATGGAGGGTGCACGCCGCTCTTTGCTGTTAGAATATGATCAGTATGTTATTCTAATGTTGATCTAGCTCACTGCTAGTCTCATACAGCCAACAAACTAACACATAGAATAACATTATTTCAACACACTCAAATGCAGTTTTTAAGTGTGATAGTGTACACAAAGTGGAACAGCGCTGCGTTACCTCACAAGTTTCATTTGTCTAATAAACTGACCTGTGTGAGTAGTAATTCTGCAGTTGCGGGTTTTTCGGTAGAATGAAATGTCCTTATTCCTTTATATACGCGGGACTCGCGTGTGACGCTGATATCTGTCTCTTAGCAATCGCGACCTGCTTCATACCACAGTCATGTTAAAAACATCAATGTATTCACTCTCATCCATAAACATTTTTTTTTTTTTTTTTTTTATATATATATATATATATTTTATCCATAAACATTATTAGATCCATAACATCATTAAGCATGACGACAAGTTCCATCGGCAAATGCGTCATCAACCTACACCTTTGTTATTGTAAGAGGTTAGCGACCCCTAGCGGCGAAAAAAAATACATATTGTAGTTTTAAAGTGAAGGCCTCATTGTTTCAAGGACATCATTTGTCACATCATTTGAATTTCTATGTTCATTTTGCATTATTTTCACACTTAAAACATTGCTTTGGTCATTCTTTTGTACCATTGTCCTCTTTTGTGCAAATAAATAAATCTTCAAAGAATTCTGTCCCAAGTGGTTCCATTGTTGTCAGCATTAAGAGAATGTCTTAATGGGCTATATAACACATTTAATTGATAGGAAATTACTCGTTTAAATGCTTTGGTTCAACTCACCATTGCCTTTAACTTGCACAGAATTGTTTTAAATTTAGTTTGTCACTTTCAGGAGGTTGTAATTATTTTTGCAACACAACATTGTATCACTTTGATTAGAAAATCTTATTTTCCTGATTAATATTGACATGCTCCACACACACACACACACACACACACACACACACACACACACACACACACACACACACACACACACACACACACACACACACACACACACACACACACACACACACACACACACACACACACCTCATAATTTCTTAATTACTTATAAATCCAAGTTTTAAAAAAACTTTCTTGTCTTTAGTTTTTTAAATAGCCTACCAAGAGACAGTGTCAGTGAAGAACATTCTGCACATTTGAATGATGAAATATGAGATGAAAAAACAGGGTAAATATCACTTTTCAACTAATATTATTGTTCATCTTTTCCAAACAAGCTGTATTTTTGACAAATCACTGCTAACTAATTACATTAAAGTGTGAAAATATCTAGCTGCATGCATTTAAATGTCAGCTTTGAAATTAGCTTTAGCAAGACAACGGTGTCAGTCCCTGTATTCCAAACATGTTTAAAATGTCCATCGCAGAACATCACTAAACACAATTCATAATTTGAGATGTGGTGGATATGTTTGTGACTTTATTTTTTATTAAATTATAAAAATGATGCATCTCTTCTGTTACATATGGTTAGTTGAAATATAAATACGAATGGTGAGAGAGTGAAAGAGTTGCAAAAGTATCTAGAGAAAAAAACATAACAATCCTTCAGAGCTTTTTATCCCTGACAGCGCAAGTTGTTTCCACATTCCAACCTGAAAACACACTCTAAAGTCGGAAGTTCAACCTCCCACCTCGGGAAATGTGAGCATGTGTGTGCGTCAATATTCAGATGAAGATTAAATGCCACTTAGCGATTGGCTGTCGTAGTGATTGCATCATCAGCTTCCAGTGCTCATTCTCTGAGGTCTTGTCCTTTTTGAGGTGGATGTTACCAACCAAGCGCTTGGAGGACTTCTTTGAAGGCTGAAGTTCGAAAACAGACACTATAATGGAGCACTCTCTTATATGTTGATCTGGCAGCACAAAGGTCAGGACCTCATTAAACACAGTCACCTCCCAGCACATCTTCTGTGTTGTCCTCTGATGTCGAAGTTTGCACTGGTTGCAGATGATGCTGATTCTGGCATAAAGAGCTGTGAGTACAATGAACAAACACCTTACAATAATGTAAAGTAATTTTACAGCATTTATTAAGCTTGGTTAATCTTCAATTGTAAATATACCTTTGTTTGTTGTTAGTTCACAATGTATAAAGGAATATATTAAACTCCTAATTTTAGGCAATCTGTAAGGATTGCATCCTCAAGGCAGTAGGTGGAGACAAATGACTAGTGCTGCATCCGAAATCCCTACTATTTATTAGGCGAAAAACAGTATTACACACAAACTGACCACCAGGCACCCACCACAACTCTTAGATGCCATATTTACTTTTTAGCTCAACTGTCACGGAATGGAACAGGATTTTGTGATATGGCAGGCAGAAAGACTCATCTATGTGGCTTTCAAAAATCGATCAGATGAGGTATCTAAGGAGACAGGAAGTGAAGCTAACGTTGGATTCGGACGTGCTTTGATTTTGTTGCCTTCATGAAATGAAATGTCTTCATTTGTTTGAACCGATTCATTCAAAAACGATGATTCATAAGTCATTGAATGATTCATGTAAACGTTTTGCTCAAAAACACTGAATCAGTCAGGATGAAACACCGCTACTGTGTTCTGCACCTGTTCTGCTGTGGATTTTCGTTGTCGGAGCAAAAACATAAACTGGCAATACTGTCTGTGTCTATAACGTAAGTTACTCAATATTGAAATATTGTTTGTGAACTGTTGAATAAAATCAATATCACACGATCGCGCTGCTTCTCTTAGAAACGTTCCATGCCATCGTTGCTATTTCACTGTTATTACTGTTAAATAAAACTATTTAAAAAAAATCTCGGTAATTGAAATAAAGCTTATATAAAATAAATAATAAAAAATAATAAAAATTAGAATTAGACATTTTTTAAATGTTTCTTACCTTGGCAACTGACTGAAATAGGTTTAAGTTGAAGTATTTTAACTTAAGAAGTCACTCTTCGGCCGTTACCGGAAAACAGTGATTATAGTTATAAAGTTATAGCCTACATTTTAACATACAAATTTTCTTACAAAAACGCATCACTTTGCTTCAGAAGGCCTTTTTTAACCCCCTGGAGCCATATGGATTACTTTTATGATGGATGGATGCGTTTTTTGGGCTTCAAAATCTATGGTACATAGAGCTTATAAAGCCACTATAAAGCTTGGAAGACCCAGGATATTTTTTTATATAACTCCAAAAGTGTTTGGCTGAAAGAAGAAAGACATATACACTGAGGCTGGCTTGAGGGTGAGTAAATTATGGGATCATTTTCATTTTTGGGTGAACTAACCCTTTAAGTGCATTAAATTCCAAATGCTTTTCAACATCTACATTATTGTATAATTTAACGCTTAATTGATTATTCCTCACCTCTCTCTGTTTTATTTGAATGACAGACTGTGCGGATCTTCAACACTCCCACCTCCAGCCTCTGAGATGTCGGCAAGTATTTCAGAGAGAGCAGCGCCTCACCAACCATGTCCTGGACAGACAATTTACAGGTTGTTTCTCATCTCATACGGTAATTCCGAATGTGTTGTGCTGGGATTACACTTACTTTCTTGGGTACTTGCAGATCCTGTCTTAACTCCAGTGGATCTGACATCTTCAGACTGTTCAGGGGAACACGAGCCTCTCCCAGAATTCCATGTCTTGAGTATTTATCAAAGTCCCTAACCTAAAAGAAATGATCTAAAAATGAATTATGGCGTCATGGGCACGTCCTTGCTAAATAAGCTTGTTAACATACCTCAAATCTAACAGTGACTCTTGATACTTCCTCCTCAGCCAGAGAACAAGAGAACTGATCTCCAAACACAGGACAGCAGCTCTTCTTCACTAGACGCGTCTGCCACTCGTCCAGCACACTGTGCAGTGGACACTGCTCCTCATCTTCTCTCTCTGCCCACATTAACCTCACCCAAACAAAAGGGTCCACACTGTGACTGAAGTCTCGCACAGCCAGATCTTGCGCGTCCAGTACCGTCACAACCAGTCTGGACTGCAGCTGATCATAGAACAGTGAAAATCGCAGAGATCCCTGGATGTGCTCCTCTTCAAGATCAGCCATGCTATCCTGGTCTAAACTACTGCCCAGGTTGGTGCAAGAGGTGCCAGGGGACACTCGGTGGCTCAGTTCCTCATAATGAACCTCCATCTGATGGACAGAGTGTGTATCTGGTCTCATTTTCTAGCATAGCCTCTTATTGGATGTTTAGAAATACAGAGATACTTTTTGGCAACCAAAGCAAAGCATCTGCAAAACGTGTTTTTCATATATTTTGTTTGATCTAAGTCAGAGCAAGCAGAAACTATGGAAGCAAACACAGTATAAGTGGTGAAGAGAATGATGGTTTATGTAAATGAATCTTACCATAGAGTCTCGTGTTTGTGTAGCATACTGGAAACCTCCGCTTTTAGCCAACGGGCCATCTGCTGACAAAATATTCACTGGAATCAAATAGATGTTGATAGATTCTACATACACCCTGTTAGCTTTGCATATACTGTGTGTGTATATATGTATTTGATAAAAAATGCAGTAAAAACAGTAACATTACAATTTAAAATAACTATTCTAAAAATGCATTTTATTCTTGTCATGACAAAGCTAAATTTCTCTTCAGTGTCACATGATCGTTCAGAAATCATTCTAATATGCTGATTAGGTGCTCAAGAAATATTTATTAATATCACTATTTTTGTGAAAATAGTGTCTGTGATCACTTTTTTCATGATTCTTTGAATATAAGTTAAAAAAGAACATCACTTGTTTGAAATGTGTGACATTAGAAATGTCTTTACTGTCACTTTTGATCAATTTAATGCATCTATTCTGCTTAATCGTATTCATTTCTCTCAGAAACAAAAAAAGAAATCTTGCTGACCCCCAAATTTTGTGCTCTACTGTAGTGTAGATATAATGAAGTATATACAGTAGGCTACATCTTATACAATACTGTGCATCTAGGCTACATATGTTGAATGCTTATCTAAAACTACAACTGTTAATAGTAATAAAATACTAATCTTGTGCAATATTAGGTCAAATATAAAAATCAATCAATTAATTAGCATGAAAACTTACCGGCTCTTTGTGAAACAGGAAACCGTGTACAGTAGCGGTAAATCAGCCATATCAAAAGACAGAGGGCTATAAGGAAAAGGACAGCAGATATGCCCAAAATACTATACTCCACTTCCTCTGAGAATAGCAGTTGGATTTCTCCAAAAGACAGAATCAAAGTGGTAAAGAAAACCATGTCTTTTTCCATGTACAGCTCTGGAAATGAAGGACACAAAGTTACTAATGCTGAGTTTATTGATATCAGTTGTGTTATACATACATGTATTCAAGAATCGGATTTATGATAACATACTGTTCACACACTATCTTATATTATACTATATAAAGTATATACGACATAAAGTATTTAGACATGTCTATTTTGAGATGCTTTCCTGGGAAGGACAGAGGTGGATCCTTGAAGGTTTCGGTGTAAAAAGGAAAGAACAAAAGCCTACCTTTTTAAGCTTTAATTGTCCTCCATTAGTTCCATTTTACAAATAAACTACTGCCGGAGTGTATCCATATTTAAACGCGGTTGACAGTGATCACCTGACAGGTGATCAGCAAACACAGGGGCAAACCTGTTTGAGCACTTGTACATTCAGTTCTTATTAAACAGGCTTCATCTGCACTCCGGTCACCAATCTATCGCTGAAATAAGATGGAGACCATGTGTTTCATTGGCAATTTCCTATTTCTTTACTACTCCACTATGCAAATTCAATGGCCAGTTTATCACTGCCTTGTATCCAAATAGCCAAGGCTTGTGAGATGAGATAATTGCTCATGAAAAAGAGTGTCAGTGTTGTACAGTAGATGGGAGGACCTCCATTTGCCTTTTAGAAAAAAATAATACGCATAGAAATATCATAATCTACATGAAACATTTTAGAGGATTTATTACTAAAATAAATCATGCACTTTGTAATGAAATATAGCTAAACCTAAGATAAGCACTGAGCTGAACCGTTTATTTACTTGAAAGGCTACATGTGTGCATAAGAAAACAGTTACGCCAGTTACGAAAAGTAAATCAAAAAGTTCTAAATATGTTTCTGAATACAGCTTTATTCATACATGTGCAGTTTTATGATATAATATAAATGTTTACAAAAATACTTATTCAATGTCAATACAATCTTTAATATGAAATCCATTCAACAACACATTTTATGTTGCAAAACAATAAATATTAAATAGCTTTTTGTCTTTTCCCGAGGACTAAACACAAATACCTTTCAGAATTGTGTCTGGCAGTTCCAGGTAAACATGAATAAGTGTCGAAAAGTTTGTTCATAATTTTACCAGCCAAGATATCATAATTTCAGAGCTTTTAATGCAAAGCTGACCATAATTATTTAATCATGATCCACTCCATTCGCTGTCACATCCACAACATTCAAAATATGAAGTAACTTTTCATAAGCAAGGAAGATAAAAAAAAAAAATACTCTGAACAAGAATGTATATTATTAAATATGTAAATAAATATACATATGCAGCAAAACTAAAACACAGCTTCTATTGTACGCATCTAAAAAACATCTGCAGAATCACCAGGGAAGTTGTTCACCAGTATAGTGAAGAAATGACCCATGATCCTTTTCAGCCAAACCACCAATCACAGACAATACAGAGGAAATGCTTTCTCCGGGGCTCAATGGTGCCTGTATAGAAAACAATGAACACACCACAAGAGTTTATCACTTGTTTTAAATTCGGTTAGCAGCACAATAACAGACAGCACTGATGAAAAGCAGGTCGAGACTCACTTCAGGTCCACCCATATCAGTGCGCACCCAGCCTGGATGCAGAGCCATACACAGGATCCCGTCTGCCTCGAGGTCCACTGCCAAGCATCTGGTGACCATGTTCAGCGCACTCTGATACAAGGTAAGGCGAGCTTATTTATATAGCACATTTCATTCACTATGGTAATTCAAAGTGCTTTACATAGAAATGAATTAAAATAATCACAAAATAAAAGCAAGGAAAATTAAAACAGTTTTAAAAGGAATTAAAAGAGATATAAAGATGATACAGTTATAAAAAGGAATTAAAAGAGTCAAGAGATGATACATAGATAAACGGGCAAAACACCGGTGTATCATATTTAATATTTCTCACAGCTGCTTGTTTTACTGTGAGATCTCCCCATGTTGATTGTACTGTGTCTATGGTGTTCTTTCGGCGCACCTAAGTAATAAATACAACTCAGTATCTCAGCCGATATGTTCACAGACATATTATCATTTCCTTCGATATGTAAAACTGTGCTTCAACAAAGGAATCAAACGTTCATGCATTTGGAAGACATTTTTATTCAAATCGACTTATCGACAAGTTATTTTTTAATGGAATATAGCCGTATTTATTATAACTGATTTATCCATGCCCATCATAATCTTTTCTACATTCATGTGCCTTCGTAATCTTTAATCAAAATAATTTCCCCTTCCTCTTGCATCGACTTCTCTTATCGGCGCGAGGGCGGGACATCCTGTCACTCACATCAGATTGAAAGTCTTGCCCCACGTTTTTTTCTTGTTCGAGAAGTCACAATACAGGGAAGTAAAGACTATTGCAACTTTTGGAACTTTATTTTACAGTCCTGTTCCTCATGTACATAGTATGTACTTATTATAGCAATTACAATAACTAGGTACTAACCCTGAACCTACCCCTAAAACCTAACCTTAACCTATGTAGTTCCTTTATATATTACCAGTACTTTCTTAGGTGAGTACACTGTAAGTAAACGTAAATGCATGTACTGTAAAAAGAAAACAGAAAAAAAAAAGTGCAACCCAACTTTTGTTTCATGCTGACTTCAAAACTTTTACCTTGGCGTTGAACTCCAAAAACACAATCTCACAAACCTTTGATGTTCTGTAGGGATACCATTTGAAAGTGTTGGCACGATCACCCCAGTAGAGCTCAACTGAACCCAGCAGTGATGTCATATTGATGACTGCTGCTCTGTGGATGCCCATCCCGGTTCCCTTTGCAGCTGCTCGCTTCAGCAGTGGGAGCATGGCCTGCATGACAAGTGCGATCAGTAGGTCAGATAGATATGTGCATATATTGTGTCAAGATTTAATCTGAGAAATGAAACCTTGGTGATCATCAACGGTGCAACAGAGTTGGTATGGAAGTTTTCCAACATCTTGTCTGCAGTGACTGTCTCTAGGTTTGCTACAACATTAATTCCAGCATTGTTGATGAGACAGTTGAGACCCTCCTCTTGAACTAGCTGTTCCACCTCAGATGCAGCTCTTTCTATACTCTCTTGACTGATGACATCTAGTAACAGAGACAGCCACGATTAATGCAACAGAGTCAGGTAAACAAACTCTTATTTTTAAATACAGCTTCTTCTAGATCAGTGGTTTATGGTGTCAACAGTCAAAATGGGTTGCAAGTTTTCCCTCCACAGTAGGGAGAAAAACTATGCAAAATGCAGATAATCAAACAGCAACAGGCCCTTATCCATCAAACCATTAAGACAATAATGTAAGGTAAAAGAAAATTTGACCGTACCCCAACTACATTAAATAGTTCAAGGCAAACATTTTCATGGTAGTTAATGGTAATATTTATACTTTCATCCTTTGTTTTGTTTTTTTGCACAATAAAATAATTGTGTTGTGTTAGGTCGCCACCTAATGTTCAATATAAAATCTGGGTCATGAAGCAAAAACAACTGAGAACCACTGTTCTAGACTAGACACTCCTTTTAGTTTTAATGTACTTACTTACCTACCCAGTTTAATAATGTGTATGTTTTGATACTCTTCTGCCAACCTTTGCAATTCCTATAAAACAAATAGGTCTTTTAAAATATTAGAATATATTATATTTAATATATAGGCCTACTGTATATTTAATATATACTGTATACAGTATATTTAAAATATACTGTTTTTATTTCATTTTTTTTTTTACATTCGCTGCTTTTAGGACCTCATTTTAAACTACACATAAATGTATACCATTTTAACTAAAAATATACACTTCCGTCTCCTTATACATTGATACGACTTTTAACCTAAAATAATAATGTTGAAATGCATGTCGTTCTTGTCAACTGCGCATGTGCACATTCCCATGCAGCTAAAAAGATGACTGTAAATTATCTGGGGCTGGTTTCTAATGTTTAGTAAGCCTAATGCAAATACTACACTCTCAGCTCACGAAATTACCTTGGCTCCATCTGGATCCCGAGCAGTAGCGATAATCTTCCCGGGAGAGAAGCCTCCCGTTACTAGACTCTCAACTATCTGCAGTCCGAGGCCTCGACTGGCTCCGTCCGGTGACCATTAAGTTTGAACAGTTCTTAAAAGCATGACTCATATTGTCACTTTATTCGAGAACACGAAATTAATTTGCTGTCCAGGCCGCACGAGATAAGTTAGAATAGATGACAGCTTGATGACAGAACTGTCTATAGTCACGTGATCAGAGAATCACCTGTCTCCACGCGTCACCACCGCCTAGTTCCCGTATCTCGATCCGCTTCACCATATTGACTTATTTAAAGTAGCTTTATTATAAAATACGCTCATATGACCCACAAAATGTTTTGAACACAAGCATCACTAAAAAAATCAAACACGTGGGTTTTCGTTGAGCTCACTTTTATTAATTTGTTATTGTTCATACACTCACTCGTGACATTTCATTTTCGATGAAGAACTTTGGACATTTCATAAACCGCTTAATTTACTTTAGCAACTCAATAATCAGTTATACAAATATATTTTAACAGTTTCTCAAAACAGAATTATCCTTACAGACTGCATGTTTATAACCAGCACCCACACACAGGATTAAACACCCAAAGCTTTGCTTAAAGCATCGATTAACCACTGAAATATCAGTTACAATATATGTTTTAAAGTTGGTTTTTATTATAAAATGGATCGACTAATTCTATTTTGCCCACAGATGCACAAACACATTTTTTGACAAATCAGATCCAGTTTAATGGCCAGCTAGGATGTGTGAATTCCTAATGATTTATGAAATGATTTTTTTATGTGTGATATCTTTGACTATTACACAGAATAGCAATATGAATTTATAATAAATTACGCAAGAACACGTGCAGTGCAAACACTATGGGCAATCTTTCTTCACTAGTAGAGCGCTGACATTGCAGGTTACAATACCTCGGTATACAGTAAGTGCCTAATCTTTACAAACGTGTCTAAGAAGAACAAGTAACTGCTCAAGAAGACTTTTGATGCCGAATCATCAGTTTGATAGTAATTGCCACGATAAAGACTTACAGTCCTAAAAAGATTTTACAATTAATGTCCAAACATGAAATCTTGTTTACTCCTTTCAGTTATTTCTCTAACTTTAAACATGTTGTTAATTGATATATCAGCATATTTTGGACCATATCAGCACTGATAAGTGATATCCTTTAAAGCTTGTTTTTATTATTCTGCCTTAATTTATTCAGGGGCTTACATTAATAGTCATGAATTAAAGGGATAGTTCACCCAAAAATGAAAATTCTGTCTTTAATAACTCACCCTCGGTCATTCTAAACCCGTAAGACTTTCGTTTATCTTCGGAACACAAATGAAGATCTTTTTAATTAAATCTGAGAGATTTCTGTCCCTCCATTGACAACTACAAAAGTTCATAAAGAGATCATAATCATAATCCATATGAATTGAGCGATTTATTCCAAATTTTCTTAAGAGACGCATTCACTTTATATGACAAACAGATTTGTGTTCCAAAGGTGAACAAAGGTCTTATGGGTTTGGAACAACATGAGGGTGAGTTTTCATTTTTGGGTGACCTACCCTTTACATGTATAATTCCAAATTAAGTGAACTAGAAGTCTACATTAGTTCTATTTCATATCTTGTTCTAAAAGACAGGCAGCAGAGGACTTTATATCATCTAAAGTATGTTTTGCTTGCTCTCTGTCTGCTGCCAGCTTCACTTGGTGACAGCGTGGATGGAGTGCGCTAGATATTCCACGTTTGCAGACGTCACACCAGCCACGGAGATCCGGCCATCTTTTGTCATGTATATAGAGAATTCTTTAATCAGACGCTCCACCTGACAAAGAGCCACAAAGAAGACAAGCAGAGAAAAGCCAATGAGAAAAGGCTGAGGCCTTATCAGAGATACCCAGAATGCACTCTCTCTTGACTTGCCTGCTCCGCTTTGAGTCCCGTGAAGCAGAACATGCCGATCTGGTCAGTGACATGCTGCCAGTTGTGAGTGGAGCCCTCCTTCTTAAGGTTTGAAACGAGCATCTCTCTCATCCTAATGATACGGTCGGCCATGTCTTTCACCTCCGCGAGCCTACCAGAAAAACAGTCGAGCCACAGTCTGTAGAGCTCGGTTCTCATTGGCTGTGTTCATGATGGCGATTAATCTCAGGACTCACCATTCTTTGTAGAGTTCGGGTGTGTTGAGGATAGTGGAGGCGATGCGAGCTCCGTTCATGGGTGGGTTGGAGTAGATGGGTCGAATGAGAATTTTCAGCTGGGATTCCACACGCTTCGCCTCTTCAGCATCCTTACACACCACCGTGAAGCCCCCGACACGCTCACCTGAAGACGCAGAGGTACAGAGTATTAACTTTAAAATCTTGTCTAATTTTCCATATATAACACAAATCCTTGAATGATAAATTGACTCAAGAATATATCTGTACAGTGTATTTTCTCTTACACTGAGGGAGAATTTTTCACTTGTTTAAGGATAAACAAGTTAAAAACAAGTGAGATTACACTTAATTTATAAGAAATTAATACTTTTTTTCAGCAAGGATGCATTCAATTGATCAAAAGTGACAGGAAAGGCATTTATAATGGTACAAAATATTTCTATTTCAAATAGATGCTGTTTTTTTCTAACAATCTTTCATTCGTTTGAACAGTTTCCACAAAAATTATAGCAGCACAACTGTTTTTTATCATTGATAATAATAATAATAATGTTTCTTGAGCAGCATATTAGAATGATTTCTGAAGGATCATCTGACACTGAAGACTGGAGTAATGATGCTGAAAATTCAGCTTTGCCATCACAGGAATAAATTACATTTTAAAATATATTAAAACAGATAAAAATTGTGATACTATTGCACATTACTACTGTTTTTATTGTATTTTTGCAGCCTTGGTGAGAAGAGACTTTTGGATTAGGGAATTATTAACTTTTATATAAGTGTAATACAACAAGTAATTAGCAAGGATTTGTTTTAACAATATTTTTGATGCTCACCATACAGGCCCATGTTCTTTGCAAAAGACTGGGACAGAAGAATGTTGTGCCCCTGCTCAATGAAATAACGCACAGCCCAAGCGTCACGATCGATGTCGCCACTGGCAAATCCCTGGTAAGCCATGTCAAAGAACACCAGGAGATTTCTTTTCTGTTGAAATGAGAGTGAAGAATCTTATTATCACTGAAATAGTCATTCATTTGAGACTGAGGACGGTCATTCTTTTATCGATCCAAATGGTCAAACATAAAGATAAGGATTTCATTCCAACTATATGTTTCTGTCACTTCAATAAGTAGCTTTTCTGAGACCTGCAGTCAGCTTGATTTTGGACTTTAATTTAACGCCAAAACCAGTTACCTTGATCAGTGCAGCCATCTCTTTCCACTGCTCAGGCTTTGGGTCCACTCCTGTGGGATTATGAGCGCACGCATGCAGAACAATCACACTCTTCTCAGGGATTTTCTGAAAGAGAAATAAATAAATGCATACATAAATCTGATTTCATTTGTGGGAAAAAAAAATCCCCCCCACACTTAATTTATACAAATTCTCCACATATTACGTTATCCAGAATTTCTAAATAAAATTATTCCCTCTTCATACTTAAAAGGTGGATCAGAAGAAAAGATGTGTTAAAGCTAAAATGCAACAAATGTTCAATGCTTATTCACAATAAAGTACAAGATTACTTACTGAAATATCATCCAAGGCTCCTTTAAGGTCAAAGCCAATGGTTTTAGGGTCATAGTAGGTGTAAGCATTTAGCTGCATGCCCGCATCTCTGAAGATAGGGGTGTGGTTTCCCCAGGAGGGTTTAGGCAGGTACACGTCCCGGGACACGTTATGGAATCGTGACTAGCCAAGAAGAAGTGATGTGAGTACTTGTTATTTGAACTACCTTTACAACCAATAACCAGAAATAGAAATAGTCAACCCACTTTTTTAGTAGCCTTGGTTAACAAAAACAATCAGGCCTAATATCGAATTACAAACTCAAATTAAAAGCAAAATAATACATGAAAGAATGAAAAACTATTAGCTACAAGACTGTGCCCTTCAATTCATTGATGAAGCGGTGAACAACTCGGCCCATGAGATAAATAAATCAAAAACAAATAGAAATACAATATACACTACCGTTCATGAATTTGGGGTTAGTCTTTTTTTTTTAGAAAGTAATACATCATTTCATGTATGATATTGATCAAAATGTAGTAACAGTAAATTTAATATTTAAAATAAAATCCTGAACAAAGTGTATGTTTTCACAAAAATATTAAGCAGCACAACTGTTTTCAACTGTGATAATAATAACAAATGTTTCTTGGTCACCAAATCAGCATATTAGAATAATTTCTGCAGCATCATTTAGCTGAAAATTCAGCTTTCCATCACATGAATAAATTACATTTTAAAATGTATCGAATAGAAAACATTTATTTTATATTGTAAAAATATTTCACAATATTACTGATTTTACTATATTTTTTATCAAATAAATAAATACAGCCTTGGTGAGCAGAAGAGAAAAAAATCTTACCAACCCCAGACTTTTGAATGCTAGTGTAAAATGTGGCAAGTAAATAAAATATTATTTTTTAAATCATACTTAGTATTTGTTTCTAAAGGTTTATAAGCATACGAAGGAATAGGATGGGTCACCTCTGCTGTGCTCTATGACAGCCACATATAAAACAAAACAAATATATTATGAAATCATTACAAACCACTATATTTAACTATGTACATACCAAAAAGTTAGCACCAATACGTAGAGACCCAGTTCCTGAGATCGTCTGGACAGTGATGCTCTGCGTGCAAAAAGAACTGGGAATTAATACTCACATCTAATAATTTAATAAGCAAAAGACTTCCTTTTAAAATGCATTGCTTTAAAGTACTCACTCTTCCGCTCTTTAAGACCTCATTAGCAGGTCCAAGAGCCAGCTGAGCGCAGGCCTTTGAAAAGTCTGCCAACCCTCCGATACCAAGGTACTCTTTATCCAACTTCTTAGCAGCAATCTGGGCCTCAGCCTGACAATACCAAATTCTGTCATTTGTTTTGTGCAGGGATTAGAATATTGAAACTTTATTTGGCTGATTGGAAGTGGATAGAATTATGGACAATTGCTGTATAACAAATTGCTATATAACAAAAAGCATTTGAGAAGATACAACAGGCCAGGGTGATTCAGGGAAATCTAACAAGATCATTGCATAATCATATCGTATGCCAATAGTTACGTTATGACAAACCTTTCGAACACAGTTGAGGACAAACGGCTTGCCATGATCGTCTCTATAAGCTCCTACTCCGAGGTTCATCTTTTTGGGGTTGGTGTCACGCTTGAACGCCTCCGTGACACCCAGGATGGGATCAGGGGGTCCCATCTGTACCTCAGTCCACCATGAGCTGTGAAAAAAATTAATACTTTCAGCTTAACTGTTGAGTGCAAGTACACTGCTCCAGTCAAAATGTTATGACTGTGTGTTGTCAGGAAAATTGATATTAATAGTTAAATTGTTTAGTTGTTAAATACTTTTGGAAGTAAGGCCAGACACTTTTATAGCATTGAACCCCAAAGAATTTACAGCAGTGCAGAAGACTGAAACTCAAACATCCCTAATAGTTAAATACAGACCACCCTTCTCTTTTCACTGGCCCGAAAACTACTTTGCATATACATTAGGGGAAATATAAAAATCTACCCATTCTTTGAACATCTCATTAAGAATTCTCCAAGATGGATAAGTTTATCATAAGCTGATTATCATTGCAGAGCTTTAGTTCTTGCTAAACTGGAAGGAAGTCTGCTAAACTCCGCTATTGAGACTTCATGTCTGAACGTTAACAGTAGAGGAATTTTTCAACTCCAAGTTTAAGCACATTGCATGGCTGTATTTGTTCTGATGGATGCTTGGCACACAGTTTCAGAATGGCCATGTCATTCTAAATAAAGATTCTGATAGTTTGCCCAGACAAACAGGTCCTCTCTGTAATTCCCGGTGTAAAATGAGACCCCACCCACATAAAGTGTGGTAATCCAATGAAAAGAGGTGAACAACACCCCACCCTCTGCCTCAGAACCAATCATGTGTCACTCTCACATACTGCCCTTTTCAACCCAGCTCTGAATGTCAGTCATTTGTACCAATCAGCAACTAGAACTACAATAAAAAACATACTATGTGCACTGTTGCTGTACTCTCAGCTTTTGAATTTAAGACATACTGCTACTTTTTTTTATCCTCAATAACAAGCAAAACCCTAAGTGTAGAACATTAATTAATGACAACGATGTACAGGACATACAGGGTTTTATGTGGAAGCATGATTGGCCCAGTTTGAGGAAGTAGGCGTAAAAGCATTACATGCTTCTTTTATGTTCCTACTCAAGTCACAGATAATTTATATAGCATATAATTAAGTAAACCCAAAGCTGACAGACAAATAACAAAAAGTTTAAAAGAAAATTGAACAGGCAAGTAAATAAAAATAAGAAGATATGTAAAATAAAGGAAATGAATGAATTTATGAATTATGTTCCTAAACATTTTAAGTGTCCTCGTCTTAGCAGACACATTAATAAATAAATAATAAAGTAAGAGCGAATATAAAACACAAGTATCCAAGATAAAAAAAAAAACAATTAGTAAAAAAAAGAAGAAAAAAAAGAAGAAAAATGAAAACGTTTTGCAGTTAAACAAATGCAGCTATGCAATTTAATACTTTAACAGAAACATCAGTAAAATAAAATAAGTTTTTATAGGGAGGCTGTTTTTTTCATCTCGATCATGATAATGCCATTAAATAGACAGAAAATATAACCTTGTGTCAGACAGTAGCAAGCTAGGCCTGGCTAAACCTGATACATCACTAATGTAATGTCATTATGAACATTTAACATGAAAAATCTCGCCTGTGTTGATTTCATTAACTCTGATCGCTTGTCAAAGCCCTTTTAGTGATAGTGATATTATATTATAACTTCTGACATTGACAGTCGTCAAATATGAAATAAAAATGTCATTTTGAAAGATAAAAAAACACTCGGTAAACATCAAAAGCATTAATAACTATGTTGAATTATAACCACAAGGTCAAAGTCTCATGTGTTACAGTAGAGTGGCATTCTGTAAATTTCAGTGGTGCTGCTAGTCAGTCCGCTAACTCGCTAGCACAAGCTAGCTTGACAACAGAGTGTTTGCACAAGAAAAATAAAGCCTCAAATTACCTTGCACGGAGCTGTAAGACTGCTAAAATAGGGGCCTGAGCCCCGACATTAGTCAAAATCGTGCTGGATTTCAACAGGGCCATTGCTGGAAGCACCGATGACTTGGAGGAAGACAAACGCACACTGACTGGGTTAGCAACGTTACTTGAACTTGTGTGCTTTGCATGTGTTGATTATAGCGCCTCCAAGGACATTGCATTGCATTGCTGCTGGAGACAAGAGGTAGTACAGTATATGGGACTCGAATACTAGCCAACTAACAGTTACGAGTAACTGGTTTTAACAGTTTGTTGTACACTTACTTTGGAACAATGTCCCATCAGAAATTGCTAGTAAATTTCACAAATAACTACAAAGAAATGACGTCGCATTTAATTAAACGTGGCATTTTGAAGTAAAATGTCTGAAATATTATTTCCCTGTAAAACATAGGCCTACTCCAATAACTAAAAAAAAAAAAACATTTTACAGTGTATAACGTTAATTATTGCCTGTGTACTGTATCAAATAGCCTCCATAGGGGGCTTTTAGTTTTACACTGAATGTGAATACTATATATATATATATATGTATATGACATATATATATATATATATATATATATATATATATGACATTTACATGGTCGTATGTCCAAACAAAGGTTCAGTCTTCACAAGATGTGGTTTTCAATTTTCCAGACAAATTACAAGCGACTTGCATCAGAGTGAAGCAATATGCATATTGACATACTAGTGCAATTATAGTAAGTGGCCACTTGGAGTCATTGTTGCTCCACACGTTGCAGAACTGTTGAACCCCTCAATACCAGTGAAAGGCTCACCTCTATGTCTCTGTATAGGCTATATCTAGGACTAGGATATAAAGGCTGATGTCTCTATACTACATCTCTCTGCTTACAGACGTTGAGTTCTGCAGTTTACTTTCAGATGCTGTGAATACTGACATGTATGACATCACAAATTAACGTTACAATGACTGCCAGACATTCTTGGCATATTTTATGTGCATGAGTAAAGAATGAATCCGTGAGCCTCAATCTTAGCATCATGACCATTCAACATCCATTTAAGCTCATTTTTGCTTGTCCTTTCTTTATCTTAGCTACCATCCCCCTTTTCCCTTTTATGCTTTCAATTTTCTATGAGACTTATGAGGCTCGCAATGAGCCTGAAGGACATTAAAGGGCTTTATAATTATATTAGCATATGCTGAGTGGCAGAGAGCATTGGTGCTTTAGTGGTAACTTCCTTGTCTGCCTTGCAGGAGATCCGTGGAAGATAAGCTGAGGCTGTTACATCTTCGTCTTAGAAGTTTAGAGTATTTGTAGTTGCTGTGAGCTATTAATGTTTGAAGCATAGCCTAGAAAGTGGATTCCAAGCCTGTGTTTGGTGTATTCTCAGATGCGTGTCTTGGTTACCGCTGTTAATGTGATTTGTTCACTTTAATGGAAAATAACATTGGTAGGAAAAGCATCTGCCAAACACACAAATGTCAGAAGAATGAGATCCGTTGATGATTGCAGCAGTATCTAAAATATTTTAATTCAATCCAACACTGTTTTGAATTGTTGATGGACACCATTAGATGTTTTTATACCTATCAGCTTCATCAAGTCTTAAACAGTATTTAGATGCCTAAATTAATTAAAAGGAATCTAAGGCCTCCAAATTTCAATTAGCATCGCATTGATTACCTTTAGGTAACAACTTTTTTTTAAAAGAACATAGCCTCTTTCCCATTTTGTAGTGTAGAAAGACTATAGAGAAGAGGTGAATTTAGCCATTTCCCCATTAAATTCACAGTAGCTATATTTAAACATCATCAATAAAAGAACAGGATTCTCTTCATTTATTAATTCGTTAATCTAGCAATTACAATATAGACATAATACCAGAGTATGAATACTTTCTAGTAATTGTATTCAATAGGAACATTGGGAAAGGGCAAAGCTTTTGATATAGCCTATTTAGAAAAGCAACATTTTTGGAGCTGAGGAACCGTCTCATATTATTTTCATTTACAGTTCATTTGCTTTGAACAAAATTCTCACTGGTATCACTTGAACACTTGCTAAGCAAAAAAAGTCAACATTGTGAAACTGTTAAATAGAGTCTAATTGCTTTTCTTTAAAAGTCTGCAGAAACGTTTAAGAAAAATAGTTAACATTTAATTAATTATCAGTATTTGTTTTGACTTTAAACTGTTGTCTTCAGATATATGAATGTGCTTTTTGCTAAATTATTAGAATATATAGAATGTTAAATAAGATATAGGTTAGATTTTGTCAGATAAGATTTAGTTCAATAAATCATCAGTGTACATTGGAGAAATGTTATCAGTCAATGCAAGCAGTGTAGAGAATCCCCATTTATAAAACCAAAACTGCATTTGGATGAATTATTCATGTTCTGATGATTAATTGATAGGAATTTCTACAAACTCTGCTATGTAAGAGGAAAGTCTAGCAGTTAAATTATTTAATGTGGTTTAAATGCATCTGGACACAATGGGGAAAGATGTTTTCTAGAAATGTGATGTCTCCATTCAGCATGTCACAGAACTGACTGTATCGGATGAGATGTTACATGTAACAAAGGACAATTTCAAAGAGTTAATATGTTCTGTTTTATAAAAGAAATATTCACGCAATTGTATTTTTGAAATAAATTCTCAAGCATCCGGATTAGCAAAAACAAAAAAAATGACAAAACATCAAATTTATATCACATTACTTTTATTAATGCTCTCAGTTACATCCTTAAACAGTATCAAGCCAAAAAAACAAAAACAAAAAAACACCACAAACCCACACATAATTGGGCAGGAATAAGATGAAATGAGGACAAAAACAAACCGAAGAGGAAACCAAACGGAAAGGAAGAAACCAGAAGAAGAATTTAAAGCCAAGCACTCCAAATAAATATCTAATCATATTATACCATTAGTCTGCTACTCTTTCAGAAAGATTCTTCTTTAAATATATAGTTTAAAAATTGAGCAGAGGGCATCATAGTAGCTGCAGTTTGAAGGCGAAGGAAAGCAGTGGCGATCGGGGTTGTGGGAAGGGAAAGGAAAGAAGGGGAGAGGACAGACGTTGTGCTTTTCTGTGCACACTCATTCAGAACTCATTTCGAGAGGGAGACGGGAGGGGGACGGGGGTGCCCGGCACATGCACACGGTTACAGTATTCAGGCAGCTGGAACAGAGCTGAGATGAAGGTCAGAAAGCCTCGATTTACAGCATGGGCTCCCGGCAAAGGACAATCTCCAGCTCTGAGCGGTACAGTTTCCCCCCGTCTGACAGTGCCATGATGCTCTGCTTATAACCAGTCAGGCTCTTGGTGTCCACCTCCTGAGGTTAAACACAAGCACAGTACAGTACGATTGCTTTTGTTATTTGTCACTGTGAAGTGCTATGCTATATTTCTGAGCCTTCTTATCTCACCTTATGGTTCTTCTCGTAGAGGTCCTTCAGGAGAGCCTCCAGCTCCTGCTCGTCAATATAGCCATTCCCATCCTTGAAAGCAAGAAAACACCCATGAAATTCACAATTTACTAAACCTTTTGAATGATCTTCAGTGGAACAAAGGAGGATTGTACTGATTTTTCTTCTCTAGACTTTAAAATTCCAGGAGACATAAAATAGCTTTGTGTGCAGAACATATTGAAATTGAACTGTGGCGATTGAATCACTGTGAGTGAGAACTTGAAAGTCGGATCATTCAAATTTGTGGACGAATCATTCAGTGTGAACTCATTCACTGAAAAGATCTGACTCAAAAGAACTATTCATTCATGAATCAAGCACTACTCTCCTAGGCTTAGGTTTAGATCGTATGGCAGTGGAATATAGGTGTATAGACCACTAATGATATTTTTTAAGTGCTTTTGTGTTCTTTTTGATGCTTGAAAGCTTCGGTCACCATTTATTGTTTTAGCATGGAAAAGAGCCAGCTTTGGTGTCCAATAGAAGAAAGTCATGTGGATTTGGAGGGACATCAGGGTAAGTAAATGATGACAGAATTTGTATTTTTGGTGAAATAATCCAAGAGTCTGTTCATATGAACAGAGCCATATTGGCTTAATGATCATTGGTTAAATGTTTACTGCCTTTTGAGTGACTTAATCCTCATTAGAAATGCTATTTTTTCCAAACGCCTTCTTAATTTATGACTGTAAGCCATAATAGTGCTTAGATGGCCTGGCATGTGATGTCTCGCTCTCAATATTTTTCATAACAACAGAAAGGCATTTTGACTGCGGGAAGGAGACTAATTCTACATTAATTCTACACTTAAATGCTAACATTGTGTTCACGTAGATTACATTTCATGTATAATTGAAGGTTGGTCATCATTGCAAGCCTGCGAGCGGGTGCTGTTGTCTAATGGTCTCTGTTTGCTCAAAGATATAGATTACATAGAACAATGATGAGATAATCTTGCCTTCCTAAGGCATAAATCTGGTCTTTGAAAGTTAAAGGGATAGTTCACCCAAAAATGAAAATTCTGTCAGTAATTACTCACCCTCATGTTGTTCCAACCCCGTAAGACCTTCGTTCATCTTCGGAACACGAATTAAGATATTTTTGATGAAATCTGAGAGCTGGATCACTCCTTCATACTAGTCCATAGGCTTCTTCAGAGATTGAACTTGCCGGCCTCGAAAAGTTATTAAAGACATCGTTAAAATAGTCCAAGTGACTACAGTGGCTCAATCTAAAGTATATCATGCGACGAGAATACTTTTTGTGCGCAAAAACAAACATAAATAACGACTTTATTTCAACTATTCATTTCCTTCTCTTTGGGCCTCTAGTCAGTTAACGTAGTGTGATTCCGTAGAGCTACGTCACACGTAGGCTCACTATTGGCCGACGCTGGTCATGTGGGTGATGCGTGTGACGTACAACAACAGAAGCGTACGCTGTTACACTAGTGAACTGACTCAAGGCCCACAGAGAAGGAAATGAATAGTTGAAATAAAGTCGTTATTTTTGTTTTTTTTTGCGCACAAAAAGTGATCTCGTCGTTTGATAAACTTAAGATTGAGCCACTGTAGTCACTTGGACTATTTTAACGATGTCTTTAATAACTTTTCGAGGCCGGCAAGTTCAATCCCTGAAGAAGCCTATGGAGGAGTGATCCAGCTCTCAG